CCACTATAAATAGAGCTCATCAACCGTCTTGGACAGGACGCGTAGGAGCTCGACATCACTATGATGGAGGTCCACCATGTCGCTACCATGGGGGGCAGTATAATCCTCATCCTCAGTGCCCGCCATAGTGCCGAAAGACACCACATGTTGCGCGTCGGGGCAAGGGTGGAATTCAGCGGTCATGAAGCTCACTGGAAGGGAACCTGCAGTAGGGTGGTGAGGGGCGCGTTGGCACTGAGCCGGTGCAAGCACGTCACCTGACCCTGACAGATCCACATCAGAAGCTCGCAGCACTTTCCTCCTCGGCTCGAAAGAGGCTGCAGAGGAAGAGCGTGGCAGGGCTTGATGGGCAAGTTCATCGCCTTGGACGATGGCCACACTGAGCCCGAGAGTCCAGAGGCTCATATCTCCACAGTGGGGGCAGTCCGTTCCAGCAATCGCGAGAAGTCATCCTTGTCCGAAGCTCACCGGACCACAGCAGGGGAAGAGAAGGCATTGTCCACTGCAGCGTGTAGATCACGGTCAGTAGTCTTTGATGATAGGATTCTTGCTTCTTGCAGAAGGTTGTCTGACACTCTCTGACACACGCTTGAACACCATTGGCCAGTGTTACTGGCATGATTCAATAAGGCTTCAGTAGTATCTGGAGGAAGGGGTTTCCCCATAAGCATTAGCAAATAAAATGTCGAAGTGAACGAATCGAAAGGGAACACCCTTAACAGATGAAACGATAGGACGACAAAGATATCGCTTTCCTTAGAGGACATTCAAAATAATGTTCAGAGATTGAGCTGAAGAATGAATGCTGTATCAGATGCAGGTAATCACACTCGCTCAGTCCATCTCACTCTCATAATACTCGACTCTACATAATACAATGAGCTTGTAATACAGTAAAACAATAAGCTTTCAATGAAGCAATTCAATGTTCCTTTGTTTCTTGTTCTAAATTGACCTTTTCAAATTAGTAATGGATGCTTGGACTCAGCTGTTAAACTGTCAATTTGAGATTTGATTACCTACAGCTAGGGCTGGGTATCGAGTTCGATACTTTTTAGGCACCGACCGAATTGCCTCGATACCATCGAGTATCGAAAAACGTCTCGTCGTTCGGTACCAAATTTCGATACCTAAGGGCTTAATCTCATCACCGTCAGTGAGCCAATAAAGGCCCGGGTATACTTCACTTTCCGCGTTCCGTTCCGTCTCGCGCTCAGCCATGTCCGCACAGCTTTCAAAGTGTACTCAACCGCGGGTGAGTGCAGACGGACGAGCTCAACACAGGCGCAGTTTGACTTGCGCTCTGTCTCAACTTTCACCTCGCGCATGCGCTGTTGTACGCGGACCGTCCGCGCGGTCTCAAAAAATTGCCTGCACGCAGACGGGGTGCACGGCTGTCCACGAGCCCTCCTGATGACGAAAATGACATAATGTGGACGCGGACGGCCGAAGTATACTTTGGCCTTAAGCCTGCAGCACTAGCCGGTGTGTTCGACTAGAAGAGGTGCGGCGCAGATCGATCAGTGTTTGACATCCGCGAGAGCGATTCGAAAGCGCACAGAGCAGTCTGCTCTCTTTAGCTCTCATGGTATTGACGCGTCGGTCCGCGTCAAGTCGAACACACCTACTAGTTTACACCGGTTACACTCAAGAGGGGTTACGCACACGTGAGGCTGTAGTGCTAATGCGTCCCAGCCCCCTTAGATGTAAGGCTACATTTACACTGGTGCGTTTATGTTTTAAAATGAAAATGATCCTCGTCATACTGGCGTTTCAAGCCGGCTTTCCACCATCTCCGACAAGCGACAGACCGGTAATTTTTCACTTGAGTAAAATTGAAAAAGGAGTACTTTTACTTTTACTGGAGTAATATTTTATTATACGTATCTGTACTTGTACTCAAGTACTTGATGTGTGTACTTCGTCCACCACCGGTTTCAAGCCGCCTTTCCACTATCTCGAAGCGACAGACCGGTCATTCAGTCATTCATTTCCAATGGAGAGTAGCGCGGGAGCTGTGTGGAGTTCCGATCATATGCAGATGTCCGTTCATACTACATGACCGAAAGCGCGTGCTCATTAACTTGATTGTGTCCACCTGTTCCTCATGTGTTCTGCTACTTTATAGTGTGCCACTTCCCTCATGTCTTTGCTGGTTCGTTGCATTAGTTCATTGTGTGTAAGACAATTCTTTGTCAGTCTACTTGTCATATTAGTAGTGTTAGATTTTACTCTCCTAGTCAGTCTAGCTTTGCATTTAGTTCTCTTGAAGTTTATTAGGGTTTCTTTGCTTTTGTTATTTTGCTCTAGTCTAGTTCCTGTCTTTATGTTTGCTCTAGTTTTCTCAAGCCTCTAGTTTGGTTTCTTTCTTTCTTTCTTTATTTTGATTTTGTCTTTGCCCAGTTTTTATTCTAGTTATTGATTCCTAGAATTTGCCTTTTGGTTCTTGTTTTATTTGCTCTCTACAGTTTGTATTTGTTTCTCTTTGTTTTTTCATTCTTTTTTCATTCTAGCCACTGTTTTATTTAAAAAACACTTCAAAGTACGTTGCACATGATGGCATGTTCCCTCAATAGATGGCAATTTTTTAATGAATTATATTGGATTTTATTTATTTAAAAAAAGAGAAAGAAAAGAACCACTGTTGTGGTCTCACAGAAGGCAGTCAGTCTTGTGCCTAATGCCATAAACTAAAAATAAAATTCTCTCAGGGATCACACTTTTTCATTATTTTATCTTTGATAGGAACAATCCATGATTACTGGAACAGATAAGTGTTTTTGTTAGTGCAGTGCTACAAAAGCCAACTGTTTCTTTCTTCTTTTTCACAATAGATATTGCACTATACCAAACCATTTGCAAACAGTGCAAAAGTACTGAGTGGAAAAGCTGACAGATCTAAAGATAATAAAAGTCCAAGATGTGAATCTACATAGTGAATGAACATCAGTATTATGTAATCCAACTAAGAATGTCATCATCCTAATGACATTTGCATAGTCATCATACACATTCTGCACTAAAAGTCTGCAATTTAACATACACGTGCATTAAGGCAGTGAGACAGAATGAAGGATAAAGGGTTGAATTAAATAAATATGGAATAGACACAAACATTTTTTTGGCCCAGCATATAAAGCCCATTGTGAATTACAAAATACGCAAGTATCCCAAGTCTCCAGAAACACAGTTTCATCCATTTTCTGACATATGCGCATGTGTGTATGTGAACGTTTTGATAAATCACCATAATTTTAAATAATTGTCATGGATTAGTGTAATATTAAGTATTACGTTACTGTCTAGTTTGCGTGTGTCATTATTTGTGTGTGCATGTGTGTGTGTGAGTGAGTGAGTGAGTGAGTGATTGTGTAAACACTTTGCTTTGGCAATACATTGTAACAATTGTCATGCCAATAAAGCACATGTTGAATTGAATTGAATTGAGTGTGAAGTCTATATGGATTCTGATAATTGATAGAATCCAGCTGAAAACAAAAAATGCGTCCAAGTGACCTGGTTTTTTGAGATGTTTTATGAATAAAGGGTTAGATCGACAGTCAAAAAATCTCACAAAGGAATGTTTTATCTCACATTCCCTAAATTTAAGCTGCAACAGTTCTCCGAGTTTTCTTTTTCAAGTCTTCAAACAGGCCACTTTCCGGCCTTCTCAGGGCATCAATCAGCAGTGAAACATAAGTGAAGCAGGATGCTGAGCTCATGTCTGAGGAAAGTCTCTCTCTTATTATCTCTCTGTCTTTCCTCCAAATCTGGGAGCGTTTTAGGTCAGGATTCTCTGTCTCTTCTTTGTCTATTTCTATTCTCTCTCTCTCTCTCTCTCTCTCTCTCTCTGTGCTGGTCTGCAGTCACATGTGGAGGTGAACAATTCTTAGAAAAAGAGTAGCTCTAAGCCCTGACCTTATTCTGAGTCACTCACCAGATGACCTTAAGTGTTTGCACAATTTGTTTTGTTCTAGGAAAGTCTTTTCTGAAACCATCTCCATGTGTTCACCATTCCTAAGTTCAATATCGCTGCCAGAGCTGCAAATCAAAAGTTGTTGTTGAATTGTTTGTACCTGGTGGTTATGCTATGTAGGTCAGATCAGTACTTTATCTATTCAGTTTGACTGTGAAAAATAACCTTCAATAGTTCCTTAGACCAAATGCACAAGCATTAATGTCACAAAAATGATCTGATCTCTAAACATCTGTGATGTTCTTTGGTGCACAAAATGTCTACTGGAAGAGAAAGCCTCTACTGTGAACCATATACTTTTGCTGAGGATATTAATCATTGTAATCCTGCATCTAAGATGGTCTTTGACTGGCAAGTTAAGCTCCACTCCCACATTTTTCCAGGGTTTATGTAATAGTGAGATAAACTGAAAAGCAGCTGCTGAAAAGTTTGAAAAAATTGGGGTGAAAAAATCTGTAGGAGAGAGAGGGGAGGAGAAAAGGAAAGGTCTGTGGTCATGGAGTTTGGATTCTGCTGGTTGGACAGGAAGATTCCAGCTGTAATATACCTTTACATATCATTGTAATTCTGTTTGCCTTTAATCATGGGAAACAGAAAGTGTATTTTGTTCCGTTTGAGGCTTTGCAGGTTAACTGGGCTTACTGAAAATGTCACAACCCTATAAATATTGTAGTCATTTTGTAGCTTTTTAAACTCTCCACAAAGGTAGGCCTATGTAGTCACACATATTGAAAACAGGTTCAAGTAATTTCATTCAGATGGAGAATTACCAATCTTTTTAATTTTGTGATATGCTCATGGTTTGAGCTTACCTCAAATTACATTTATATACATTTATGTAATACATTTACATATTAAAGAGATTCGCCTCAAAAAAATAACAATTCTGTCATAATATCATTCCAATAATATTTAAGTCTTTCAAAAAATTATATGACAAACACAAAAGGAGTCATTAAACATCATATCGTTACGCCAGTAGGTGGCGATAAGTTCATGAGTGGATCATTCACTAAACCGATTTGTTCAACAACATGGATTCATTCAGAAATGATTTAGCGACATGAGTGAGTCATTAAATAATTCAGTAAACAGATTTGTTCAAAATCTGTTTCACATGGATGCATTTAGGAAGGAAACTGTTGCTCGGAGAAGCGGCTTTATCTGGACTGGAACTGGTTTCATTGTCGGAGCAAAAACAGACAAAATAACTGGCAACGTTGTGTCTAAAAGCTTACTCAATATTACCATCTTGTTTATTGACCAGTTGTATAAAGGCACCATCTCTCTTGAAATTTTGATGTTGTTTGAAATATCAAGCTGTGCTATCATAATGGACGTGATTGGTTAAACAAAGTTTTTCATGTTTCATGTTTACATCTGCTTTTGTTGTATGGAACAGACCAGGGTCAGAACTTATCCTGTTGTGTTGGATAGCAGAAAAAAAGGTCATAAGGGTTTGGGATGAGGGTCACATGAAAGTGAGTCAATATTTTTTTTTTTTTTTGGGGGGGGTGAGCTAATTAATCCCCTCACCCTCTCCAAAACCAGCGTTGTTATTGTTAACTAAAGCTAAAACTATTAAAATTTAATTTTATTAATTGATATAGACTTGTCACAGAAAGAATGTTACAAATTAATGAGACTGTTTGGTTGGGTCACTAACATCAACATACACGCTTATCTAAAGCCAGAAATATATTAAAACACATGCTGGCCCTCAATTTAGAAAACTGTAAGATATACCATGCAGAGACCAGTAAACTCAGAACATAATAGAACAAAACATTCCTCTGATGCTTAAAAATATTGCTTTATCTAAAAGCCTCATTTAAAACATTTTCTTTTGGCTTACATGAATACCATAAAATGTTGGATGAAAACTTCTGCTGAACCATTATAAACCTTAAGGGAATGAACTGGCTTTGTTGTGATCAAAATTGTTTGGCTTGCTTCTCCCTGTATAATAAATCATCACTAGAGGACATGATGTTCATGCTCTTTTAGTGTCCAGCTGCTAATCAGATTTCATCTAGTATTGTAATCATTCACATTTGACACTGTCACTGCACAAGTCTGTTACCTCACCATTCATCAGGTTCCCCTAGTCAAATGCAGTTAACAGCTCCCCCATGAGGTCTTAAATTGCAGCAGGCCCCAAATTAATTGTTAAAACAAACAAACAAGCAAGCAAACAAACAAACTAACATATGCTTTCGCTGGTATAAAACTTTCCTTGATTGAGTATTTGACCTTGTCTTCTAGTATGCTGTCATACATGCCAATGATCACTTCATATTTTATTCAGTTTTATTCAGCTTTCCATAAATTTGATGTGAAGCCCTGTAGTTTAATAGTCTGGCCTGTGGGTACCAGGCTTTTGTTCTCCTGGGGCAGTTTATGGCTCAATTTCATTGTATTCATTTGATCAGGAACCTTCTACAAACAAAGTTTTCCAGTGCCCATATAAATTGGACAGAAGTTGCCTAATTTAAAGGTTCAAGAAATCCAATAAAGTAAATGTGATGTTGGTTGCTCCTTCTAAAAGAAAAATTCCAATTGAAAACAGCCCACATTGAAAAACACTGCCAGGGTTTCTCCTTTTGTCATGGTTATTACCCGTAGCAGTTTATTAATAACTTTAACCATATTTCTAATTGTGTGATAATTATGTTAAATACAATAGCTGCAATTTTACTTTTACATTCTAGGGACTTTTCTTTTCGATGAAAAAAATAAACCATCTACATCTTGAATGATGTGAAGGTACATTTTCAGCAAATATTCATTTTTTTTGTACTATTCCTTTAAACATTCAACATCATTTCCACTGATTTATTTCTTATTTTTAATAAAGAAAAATGATGAGGACGTTGAAGATCTCAATGAATATGTTAATTGCAGAAAAGCAGTGACAATGTATATGTAGTACCTTGGGTTCAATGGAGTCGGAATGAACCCCGAACATCCAAAACTCCAACCAGTTTACTACCGTAATGTAAATGAAGTTGCTCCTGTCGTAACAGCTGTGGTTGAAGTTGAGACAGCCCATTGTCTGAGTTGGTTCTCGGTGTCCCACACCCATTCTACAATCAAGTAATTTGCTGAGGATGTGATCATCACAAATGGTGCTGAAACAATATAACTGTTGACTTTCTTCTTCTCTGTAATAATTAAGCCATTTTGGGAAATGAGCATGATTGAACATCTATTGTGAAGTGGAATCTGGGTCAGGACAGTCTGTGGTTTCTTACAAAGGGATAGTTACTAATAAGCATTTAAAAGTGGGCAAAAATGTTTTTATTTACTCAACTGCTCAAAAAAAAAAAAGCTGGTTTGGTAGTTTTAGCTAGTCTCTCAGCCTGGTCGGGGTGATGTGTGAGATTTTGGAAGGGCTTATGGCCATTTCAGCAGGCCAAGCTTGGCCTGGCTTGGAGGCAAGTTTAAACCATGATTAAGCCAGCTTAAAACAGAATTTAAAGTTGTTCTTTTTAACAAGGGTTATATCACACTTATAAGCAAACTGCATTACAAATGTCAGAGCTTATAGTTCACCCAAAAAAAGGGTGAAATGAAAATTCTGTCATTAATTACTCACCCTCATGTTGTTCCAAACACGCAAGACCTTTGTTCATCTTCAGAACACAAATTAAGATATTTTTGATGAAATCCGAGAGCTTTCTGACCCTGCATAGACAACAATGCAACTGACACATTTAAGGCCCTGAAAGGTAGTAAGGACATCATGAAAATAGTCCATCATTGGTTCAACCGTAATGTTATGAAGCTACGAGAATAGTTTTTGTGCGCAAAGAAAACAAAAATAATGACTTTATTCAACAATTTCTTACCTTCTGACACGGATTTCTTATACCTTCTGACGTTTTAGAAATGTATTATATATTCTATAAATATTTTTATTTTTTTTTAATGGATGTTATATTTTCTTTACACATTTCCTTTTCTTTTTTACTAAATAAAATGTACAAAACTTTTTTTTTCTTTACAAAAAGAGAATTTTCAACAAGCATCAAATTATACAGCTGTCATGTATCTATAATTTCATAAACATAGTTTCTGGAGAAAAAAAAGGCATATTATGCATAACATTACCATCCTAACAGTAGGCCAGCACTATTGTTGATACTCAGTATGTTAAAATTTTGGAACAGAGAATAAATCTGGGGGGAATCTACCTTCGGTAGTATCTTTAATATGCTGTACCTGTGATTTTGCTGGCCTGATAAGTGTAGCAGTAAACTACTACAAAAATAAGTAGCAACTGAAATATGTGTTACTTTTAATGTCAGAACAATCATGTAACTGCTCCCTACAGATCAGAAAGAAGTTATAATACACTTTGCCCTCTGCTGGGCCATTGTGAGAAGAGCAAGTCATCTGGCCAGTGTGTCCACTTTTGTGTTGTTCACAGCTAATTTAAATTCAGGCCCATGATTAACCATTGGAAACATCCCAACTATCCCTCATAAAGAGGCATAAATGTTTCACCATCCCAGTATGACACTGTTAAAATGCAACCTATGACCACACTATGACAAAAGACAGCCTTATGACCCACATGGTCATTGGTCATTTCAAAATAGCATGTGTCTTTTGTTACTGGCTAATGTTAAAAAGATATGGGGCGGAGGAAAGCAGATCTGAGCAACCTGTGCGTTGCCATGGACACAGGGCACTGGGAGGAATGCTCGGAGGCCCAGTGTGTTAGGTGCTCCTCCCTTCAGGGAGTTTTAGTTGTTCAAAGACTTCAAAACCTACCTCCAGGATAAACCTGTGTACACTGATGAGGTGTGTATGACTAATGTATGAATGGAGATTGACGTTGAATTTCAGTCCTTTTTACAGCTGACACACATCAGTGCTTTATTTGCTTGTTTGCATCCAGGAGGTTTGAAGCAGAGGTGTGGTTTACAGGTGCAAATTCAGGAAAGGCCAGTTCCCGGGTAGCCACAAGCGAGACAGATCCCTCCCCTTGCCTCTTGTCTCTGGATGCACAATCTCTGAACTCTCAAACGATTTTACTTCAACCTACCTCGATCATCTCACCCGAGTCCTACCGGCAGCACTCAGGTAGGTTTATATAACTTAAATATATACACAGTTTATATTTTTAATACATAGAAGCCTATTGAGGAATGTTGTACTGCTTTAAAATTCATCTGGCCTAGTTTGGTGTAAAATGGAGAATTGGTATTAGATATCAGTGCAGTATGAATGCTATTGAAATTTTGATCCACTGTAGGAAGTCATTATGATTACGAAAAATAAATGACCTTTAGGATGTTTGACAAACGTGGTCACGTACCTATTAGAAGTTTAATACCTGAAAATTCTTGGTAAAATTATACATCGTAGCAAGAGATTTTCTGGATACACTGATGAACTTCTGTCTAATAAACAATGAAGCAAAAATATATTCCTTAAACAAACCTTTGGAATATATATTTTATTATAGCCTAACCACACACAGTTCTTCTCAGTACATTGCGTTATTGACTTCATATGACTGCTGTATCACACTTCAACCTAAGAGATGCCACATGCTTATTACTTGGAACCCTGTTCTGGCACATTCTACGATTATTAATAGAATATTTTCCTCCAAGATGTTGTAAGGAGGGAGAGAGAATTGTCTAAATGGTGTTATTTTACATTTATAATTTAACAGACATGTACTTTAACTTTTTTTCCCCCAAATTGGTGAATTTTCATATTGACTTCATGTTGCCTCAGAATTATGCCAGCAGACATAAACTATAATAATAATAATAATAACTGACAAATATATAATTCATAAATTGACCGTAAAATAAAGAACAACATAATGTTATAATAATTATTAGTAAAATTATGATAAATATTTGTAAATAATAAAAATAACTACACCACTAGAAATCAGCATCTGATTCAGTTATGACATGCCAGATTAAATGTTCTATAAACTAAATACAAAAACAGGACATTAATGTGGAGCCCAAGTACTTTTTACTCCCTCAAACACTTTCAATTCTGTAACATTATTACTGTTTATTTGTAGTTTTGTTGGTGGTCGTCAATATTAGATGATAGCAGATAAACTGGCCAAACAGGAATAACTGTGAAGTGGCGATACAATGGAAATAGTTACTCAGTTAGTCATGTTAAGTGTGGGTGCATCTGTTCAACATCAAAATAAAATATACTGTAGATACCAATTAGTGACATCCTCATGCCACATCTATGTCTCATCAAATCATCATTTTATTTAAGTATTTATACAAGTATTTGTATGAACGTTGCTTTGTTCTTTGTGTTCTGTTTTGTCATCATTTCACTCAAAGCGTGCATCTAAATATAGTTTGGGTGTGTACATTGTATACCATACACAGAATACAGAATATTGTATGCTCACCTCCTGCTATTGCAATGTAGTGACATGGTTGAATGGTGTACATTACAGTTGCATCAAGAGGGCTTAGATTCACTTCAGTGAAAAGGACTCATGGGAGTGGAACAAAGGGCTGCTAAACAGAGGTTTCTGAGAAATAAAGACTGAAGAATACTTTCATTTTGTAGAGAGAGACATCATAGGTTTTGCTTCACACAAATGTTGATTAATTTATCTTTTGATTGATGCCAGCATTTATAACAATGATGTCTACGTATGTAATAGAACTTATGTTACATTTAAAATAGCGGAATTTTTTTTAGCCTTTTTTCCTCTGTTGGCATTGTTTAGGTTTTCTGTGATATGCACACTCCACACAGAGGTAACATGTCTTATTTTGGCAGGTAGAGGATCCAAACATGAAATTGCCTCTGGGCATCACACTTGCACTCTTCTTGATACTTCAGACATTCCAACAAGCGTCCACCCAGATACCTGAGGATTGGGAAAGAAATAATGGGACTACAGGCGACAAAGGAAAACAACCACATAGTGAGGAAATAACTGCTAAACCAACAGGAGAAAGTAAGGAAGACATACAAAGCAATGTAGATGCACAAGCCAACCCAGAGAGTGGTACAGAAAATGAAGGACAACCATTTGGCACATTTAATTATAGTGAAGGAGGAGAGCAGAATTCCACAAAGTTGGATCTGATGCCTGAGCAGTCTGTTGCTGACACAGAGGAAGCAAGTTCTGAGGGTCCCATTGCTACAACAACACCACCTCCTATGATTGCACTTAATTCAAGTTCTGAGCTCTCAGATACATCAGCAGAATCCAATGAAACACTGACACAGGACACAGATACCTCCACACCAGAGCCAGAACACACAAATGAATCTACTCTTATTGACACATATACCAGTCCACAACCTGAGACTACCACAACAGAGAGCAGCCATGATGAATCGGGTTCTGGATATTTGCCCTCAGATGATGTACCCACCAACAGCACTACTAAGAGTCCGACCACCACAACAAAAGATGAAAGCGTCCAGAACAAAACTACAGTGAGTCCAACTGAACCACCAGTACACAGAACTACAACGGCAGTAATTCCACTGACCGTCTCTAAGGACGTCACGACTCCTGCCCCAGACAGTGAGGATACAAACCAGACCAAACCTACTGACACCAGAGGGAATTCTGAAAGAGGTTCGAATCACAAACCGGCATCAGTCAAGTGTTATTAATAATAAGTGTGTTTATAACAAAAAGACTAAATTTAATTGGATGGCTGAGGAGTTTTGTCATTAGATATTCATTATTCAAGTACCTTACTGTTTAAAAGTTTAAGGTCAGTACATTTTTTTAAGCAGCACAACTGTTTTCATCTTTGATAATGATAAAAAAATGTTTCTTGAGCACCAAATCAGCATATTAGAATGATTTCTGAAGGATCATGTGACACTGAAGACTGGAGTAATGATGCTGAAAATTCAGCTTTGCCATCATTTTCAAATATATTAAAATAGACAAGTTAATTGTAAAAATATTTCACAATACTAATATTTCTTACTGTATTGTTGTTTAAATAAATGCAGCCTTGGTGAGTATAAGAGATTTCTTTCAAAAACATAAAAAATCTTGCAGACCCCAAACTTTTGAACAGTGGACATGATAAAATTATAATCCAAAAATATTTAGCTGAACTTGAATGCTCACTCGAAATCTGTGACACTGATAGTGTTTTGACCTTTTATAAGCATTATTTCACTCCCCATTTCCATAGCACAAAGATCACGCAAATCTTTTTATTTCATCCCTCAAGCTAACCCTCATTCTTGGCTTCTTGATTCAGTCATAAAATACATATTTGCTGCTGTTCCTCGACGCTGGGTTGGATTTCAGGCTTTGTTTGTCCTCTGCTCTGGGCCAGAGTGTCTAGTTACTGACACCTCACCTTCCCTCACAATAAGAGTGGTGTTCACCCTGCAGATATTTGGAGGGGCTCCTTTCAAGGTCAGGGGTGGACCAATGTGACACAGAACACCTGACATTGCTGGAGAACAAATTCCATGATCTTTTTAGTGAATCTAACTCTAATCAATCTGTGTCCAAACAGCATTATGAACTAAAAAGAAGAGGTCATATTTGCATATTCAGAATTATTTTTATATATTTATATTTTATGGTTTTGACCTGATGAAGTATACTAATAAATTGGAGGAAAATGACTGGCTTTAAAAAAGTTCTTTAATAACTGAAAAAGACCTCTGATGGTGTTGGTCTGATTTGATTCATGACTATTTTTAAGCAAGTAACACCATGTTAAAGGCAACCACAATATTACACAGCCCAAAATTAAGTTTTTAATTGCTAATTTGGTCAAGTGTTGCTTCGTTGTTACAATAAACATGAAATATGTTTTTACAGGTTTATCTTCAGATGTTTCAGACGTTACCGAAAGCAAGAAAGGGCAGGCATGGACTGTTGTCCTAGTCATTGGGATTATAGTGGGGGTCCTGGCTTTGGGAGCATTTATCATCCTGAATCAAAGAAACAAAAAAGACTTCTCACACAGAAAACTGGTGGAAGAGATGTCACCTGATCCAGGTAATATAAAACTAACTTGTCATTATTTGCATCACTTTGAACCAAGATCCATTTGAATACATGTGAGGGCATATGAACATATCACAGAATCATTTTTTCACTGTGATACTCTGATTCACATTGTTTTGTCTCATCTTTTCAAAGTTCTCCGACTGGACAACAGTGAGCCACTCGACCTGAAGTTTGATGGATTTGGTTACTACAATCCAGGACTACAAGGGGACAACATCCAGATGACCAACTTTCCACAGGGACATTCAAAATGAGAACAAATCTGTGATGCCAAAGACATTTTTTTTAATGTTGCAGCACCCATGTGAAGACAAAAGGATGTAATTAAGAAATTATTGTAATTTTTGCCAAATCAATCATAAGGCAATTTTGCATAAATGAACAATCAAAACATTTTTTTTGAATGTTTAGTAGTGTCTTTTGTTTGAATGTTTTAGACTATCTGAAAGAAGAATATTTCTATACTGGGCACTTTTTGTTTGAACTGCAAAGTGTTGGATTGTATGTCTGCTTCTATCTAATTGTTCAACAAGATTGTTTACATGACAATTACTGTATCATGTCAAAACCGGTATATGCAAAATGGTGGAATTTATCAGCATTATGACACAACTTCACTATGCACAACAGTTTTGGTCTAGAAGATCAAGATTATGTCACTGAACTGGGAGAACATCTATTGGCGTTTTGCCTCGTTGAATTTTCAGACACAGGCCTAATACCTTTCTTCTGAGCCTATAATATTTGAAGATTTTTTAGTTTTCAAAAGCTTTAAACTAAATAGAGAATAAACGTGGCAGTAGATTCTCAGATTATAATAAATAATAAAATGATAAAATAAGGCTTGTCTCCTTGTCTGATTATTGTATAATCAAGGTATTATTAAAGGGTTAGTTCACCCAAAAAGGAAAATTAGCCCATAAATTACTCACCCTCAAGTCATCCTAGGTGTATATGACTTTCTTCTTTCAGACGAATCCAGTCGGAGTTATATTAAAAATTGTCTTTGATCTTTCAAGCTCTATCGTTGTACTCAGCGGGTGTTGCAGTGCTTCGGTTCAAAAGACGTGAAATAAAAAGCACCCTTCCACAAAAAAAAGTGTCTCACATGGCTCCGGGGGGTGAACAAAGGCCTCCTGTAGCGAATCGATGCGTTTTTGTAAAAGTCATATACACCTAGGATGCTTCGGGGGTGAGTGAAACGCAGCCTACTTTTCATTATTGACTGAACTAACCCTTTAATAAGAATACTTGAAGCAGTGTGATCTTGCTTGCGTCCTCCAGTCCTGTAGATGGCGCAGATTCCTTCCGAACATAAAAAACACATTTTGATAAACATGGCAAAGAAGAATGGAGGAACCTGGCTATCTAATGAGTATTAGTTTATTATGGAAGGTCCGGTCATGATTAAAACTGAGAAAGTTTTACATTTGAACAGCTCAAAGGGTAGAAAGGTCCGTGTGGTTCGGGAGCACTATGTGAGGGAACAGGTTTCGTGTGGAAGCTCCCTCTGTCAAGCGGACTGTCGTAACGGTAAGGAGAACAAGGGCCAGCCAAACATCAAAACACCATGAAATATGTGGTTTATTATCATTATAGCGAATGGATCAGCATACCAACAGAACTAGATAGCTAACAGTAGTTAATCTTAAATTCAGCGGTCTTCACATTCTGTACTGAGCTATAGCTTTACGAATTGTTAACTTAGATCGACTCAGAAATCTTTGTAATTTGGCTTATTAGTGTTTCATAATTATTGGTGACTTGATGTGGTATAACGCCCTCTGAATGGATCATCTCATACTAGTTTAGGTTGAGCTTAATGTAGATGTTTAGTAATGGAACAAATTAAGTTTACAGGTTGTCCTACTTAACCCTTTATTGACCCTACTAATTAGGTAATGACCAGTAATTTACCTTAGAGAATACCTCAAACATGGAAACATTAATTGCAGGATGAAGTACCAAACAAAAGTATTTATTGTCATTAAAACATCCGTCAGTAAATCTTGGTAGTTCATCCTGCAAATATTGTTTGAGGTATTCTCTTATTGTATTCCCAGTTTAGCTAATAAGATAATAATGGTTTGTATTGACCCTTTGTGCTCCAATAGACGGGAAGGTGCTGTCTGGTGATGTGACACACTGTGTAGTTCCCGATGTGGGAGTGGTTCGGGATTTCCTGGAGATACTGGAGTTCAGGGAGCTGCAGGGGATTGTGCTGACCCAGACAGCCTACCAGACTGTTCAGCACACCCGTGGACGCAGGTCAACCCCTCAAATATCATTTTTTACATCAGATTTACTTATTAAGCCACTTACTCCTAGTATTGTGTGTGAATAAAATAGGAAAATTCCTTCAGGAAAATTGGAAGGGATAGTTCTACAGGTTGCTTTCATAGTTGCATTTTGTTTCGTCTTGCACAGGCAATATAACAGACTGCGTGCTTTACTGAAGGACCCTCGCCATGATTGTGTGCTGTTTGCCAATGAGTTTCAGCAATACTGCTACTGCCCCAGAGACAAGGGCGAGTCTCAGGACAAATGGCATACAAGGTCCTGACTGTCCAGTATTACACTTTCTTTTATGCATTGTTTACTTTGAGAAAAGAGTAGTGAGAGTATTAATAGACTATAGAGCAGGGGTTTTCACAGACATTGGGCCTCCCTTTTAACACAACATACACAATGGTGCCTCCCCACCCCCTCCACCCCCCTAATTTTTACTTATTTTCAATAGTATAAAAATACTTTTTAATTGTCATAATTTGCAATATATGTATATAGTGCAACAACAAAAACCATGCAAGGAAAAAAATACATTTGTTTTTAGTACAAATTATTGCAAATGAAGCTGCGATACCAAACAGGGCCACAGGGAGATGCCAAAAGAGCACTAAATCAGAATCATTAAACCCTCACATACTCGCTTCTTCGGCCAACATCCATTATAAAACACCATGATGATTATTGTAACCACCTTTCTCCCCTCTAGCGATGGCCCTGGTGGGGGTACACAGGGACTGAAGTGGCCAGGCAAGCCTCCAACCTCCCCGACCCTGAGCATGCTTGTGGTGCTGACACTGTGGGAAACATAACTATGTCCCTTGTCCAAAAAACTGCTTCTTTTAGTTTTTTTAATATATTATTTTTTATTTTACTATAATGTTTTGATTGAAAATATTAATAAAAAAAAAAAAAAAAAAACATTTTTACCACCCTGCCCGGCTTCCTCAATATATGTATATAGTGCAACAACAAAAACCATGCAAGGAAAAAAATACATTTGTTTTTAGTACAAATTATTGCAAATGAAGCTGCGATACCAAACAGGGCCACAGGGAGATGCCAAAAGAGCACTAAATCAGAATCATTAAACCCTCACATACTCGCTTCTTCGGCCAACATCCATTATAAAACACCATGATGATTATTGTAACCACCTTTCTCCCCTCTAGCGATGGCCCTGGTGGGGGTACACAGGGACTGAAGTGGCCAGGCAAGCCTCCAACCTCCCCGACCCTGAGCATGCTTGTGGTGCTGACACTGTGGGAAACATAACTATGTCCCTTGTCCAAAAAACTGCTTCTTTTAGTTTTTTTAATATATTATTTTTTATTTTACTATAATGTTTTGATTGAAAATATTAATAAAAAAAAAAAAAAAAAAACATTTTTACCACTCTGCACGGCTTCCTTGACATGCTGTGGTGTGCCCCACACTTTGAAAACCCTGGCTATAGTCTAATAGAACATTCATTTTGAATCAACCTCTGAAGTGAAAAGAATGTCATGCACTCTGACTTTTTAGTGAACAATATTTTTTTTAAAGCAAGTAAACCTTATTGAGAAATGAGAGAGTTGCTTCAGTGATCACATAGACACTTCATAGTATTAGAAGCGAGACCTGAGCTGCAGGGAAAAAAAATAATTCACGGGAAAGTCATTTTAATGTGTGAACATGATGTTGATTCTGTTACAGAAATGTGTATAATGCAGCAGTTTGGTACTATAATCATCTAGCTGGACTCCAGCCAGTGGTCATGATTACAGAAGATAGTGATGCTATTTCAGAATTTAGTGCCTTAAACAGTGGAGTGTATGTCATCTCAACTAAGGTATATTCTTTTATTTTATTTCCTGTGAAATCTGTAGTGTTGAATTATCAATATATTTTTGGATTCAGATTAGACATTATCCATACAAATGTTTAACTTAAAAAAAAAAAATGAACAGCTTGGTTTAGTATGTTGTTGAGACCAACGTACTTGTCCCTTGGTAACACCAGTGAACTCTATTGTAGGAGTACCTGTTAAGCTTCTGGCCAGACCTGCAGGCCGCCCATGATCTGTACAACTCCATTGCTCAGACCCTTCAAGAGCGAGAGAGTGAAGGAGTGGAGAAAGTGTACACTGAACACCTGCCTGCAGAGGTGTTGGAGGCTGGTATAAAATCTGGCAGGTACATCCAGGTAAGTGCCCCACACTCCTGTTTAAACTTGATCTCTTTCTCGGTAATGGCTTATGGAGACTACATTCCAACCCACTCCTTTCCTTTAAAGGGCATCCTCAGTGTGAACAAACATCAAGCACAGCTTGAAGCCTTTGTCCGTTACGAGGGTTCAGCCAGCAAAAATACAGGTTGTTACCAACATACTTGTATCAGTCGTTCAAATCATTTTTCTGATTACTAAAGCTCTTATTGATACTGATGGTGTTCTGGTCTTTTACCTTTGATACTGCCTGTGTGATCATGTGTTTTAGAGCTAAATAGTGATGTGCTGATCAATGGAGCAAAGCATCATAACCGGGCGGTGCATGGAGACGTTGTTGTCATAGAGCTGTTGCCCCGTAATGAGTGGAAAGGCAGGACTATGGCACTAACAGAGGGTCAGGGGGAGGAGCAGCCACTGGAGGACACACAGAGTCAGCCTATGCCCTCAGGTAATCATGGGTACATGATGATTACAATTGGTCTAGAACATTCTGAGCACAACGTGAAGATTGACTGATACACAGGATGCAGACAGATAAATGGATTTACACATACACTGGTGTCCAAAAGTCTGAGAACCACTGTTGAAAATGCTTTTGTTTAGTGTAATCTATCGATCTATCTATCTATCTATCTATATTATAATTTATATTTTTTATTATTACAAATGATATTTTGTGTTGAGTGAAAATTTTATTGAAAAAGTTTGGTTTCGAATGACAACATTTCCAAAGTTTCAGTGTGGGAGCAGGTTTTTGAACCTCACTGTAGATGGCTGTATAAGTTGTGGTTGTTTTTTGACTCTCTCCTCTCTTTCCTGTAGGCAGGGTGGTGGGTATTCTGCAGAGGAACTGGAGAGACTACGTTGTGACTTTTCCTCCTCTTGAGGAGGTGCAGTCACAGAGTCGAAATTCACAAAAGATTCTGGTTATTCCATGGGACTACCGCATCCCTAAAATCCGTATCAGCACACAGCAGGCTGAGGCTCTGCAGGTGGAGATATAATTCAGCATTTGAAATGCATTATGGTTTCCAGTAGTCTAGATGAGCAGATCTTTTTTTGCAGCAAGTGTAATGTTTACATTATTGTTGACACCCTTTGTAAGTACTCAAACCTTCAGTAGACTGGCTGAAGAACTACAAATAATTACTTTTATTCAGCAATCATGCGCTAAATTGATCAAAAGTGACAGTAAAGTTATTTAAAAAATGTTTTGTAACATTATAAATATATGCATTTCTTTTGAACTTTTTATTCATCAGTGAATCCTGAAAAAGTGCATCATGTTTTCCACAAAATGCAGCACAACTGTTGTTAATGGTTATTATATTATCATATTATATGATAAAGTAAATTTTAAAATGTATTAAATATGAATATATGAAA